AAAAAAACTGTAGTAAAAAACAGTCCTTGCATGAGATATTTATAATTCAAAACCTCCTTAGTAGAACTACGATTTAAACTGACATTAATTCAATGGACTGGAAGTAAATACTTAAAAGAATGATGGCAAGGCGCTGTGTAAAAATAAGCCAAACATATCTAGAAAGAGAACAATATTTTAAGAATAAAGTATTAATTCTTTTCAATCCCTAGTCATTGTTAACTGCAGTCTAGTGCAGTTTTGCAAGCCAGGGGCAGTAAAGCAAGGCTAAACAGTGAAAGAAGACACTCATCTATGGGGAAAAAGAATAAAAAGGAGTGCTTTGAAAGATTCCTGTTCAAAAAATGCTTTCCTCTTGTAAGAAATAACCCACCATGCCTTAATTTAAAATAGAGAGTAGCAAGATTAAGTAGGACTAAGCTCAGGAATGTATTTAACCCATAATTGCCAAAACAAAAGTAACTAGGTGGCACCTGTGTAGAGAGTAAGTGACGATAGCAACCATCCTCAAAATAAGCACTTGATGACTAATAGATGCCTGGGTGAAGCTTTGATCATAACACGCATCAGGAAGAATCAAACAAAAGGCAGGATTTGACTCAACTATTTGAAGCCCGTTGCTGCAGAAATCCTGCATTACAAACTCCCCTCATGTAAACCCTTTATCTGCTATTTTATTAAGCAGGGGGAGAGAGGGAAAAGATCATTTTTGTCTCAGCAAAATAATTAAGTTTTAAATGTAAAGGATTAAATGTCATAACATGTTTCATAACAAACCACCCAAATAATAACTGGAATGGACTTGAAAGAAAAGCCAAGGGTGTGAGTTGCAAAATAATATGAAAATACTAGGAAAATCTGTGGGGAATAGCAAAATTATCTTGTAAAGTGAGAAGCTCATTCATTCATTTGTTCATGAAATATTCACTGATAAGTTACAATATGACCTCAGGGAACTCAAAGTAAAGAAAAAAANCATGAAATATTCACTGATAAGTTACAATATGACCTCAGGGAACTCAAAGTAAAGAAAAAAACATTTAAACAAGCAATAGATGATAAATGCATCTACATTTGTATCTATACGTCTCTATTTTAGTGGTGGTTAATATCTTGAGCACTGCTGCTGGACTTTCTACGTTTGCATCCACTCATTAATTTCATGACCTTGGGCAAATTAGTTAACCTCTCTGTATCCGCTTCCTCATCTGTAGAATAAAAATAATAGCACATCCTCACTGTTGTGAGAAAAAAAAAAAGAGTAAATCATGTAAACTATTTAGAACAGTGCCTGACATATAAGTATCACTCAATTGTTAGTTATTGTTATTATGAGGGCACTTCAAAAAGTTCATGGAAAGATTCTTATTATCTTTTAATTCTATTTTTCCATGAATTTTTTGAAGTACCCTCATAATAGATACATATTGTTGCACTGGGTCACAGATCCTTCAAACCCGTTCTGTGCCTACTGGGTCACAGACCCCTCAGATGCAGGTCACAAGCTAGGTAATTGGAAAAGATCCTGGGAGCCATTAGCAAGGTTGACATGCTTTATTAGAATGTGGGCTCAAGCCCCCAGCCTCCTCAGCAGAAGCTTACAGCAGATCCAGCAGCAGTTGGCAGCCTGATGGCCTGGTGACCTCCTGGGGGCCCTGTGGATCAGAGCCGTTCGTCCTC